ATCCTGTAATAATATAGTATGAATAATTATTATAGTATGTAATAATTACATCTGAATACTAGTTGAACCAGATCAGCCTAAGAGAACAAAGAAATGGGAGAGAGACCATTTTGCAAAAGGCAAAAGATTTCACATCAAAACACCCTGTTGGAATTCAGCAAAGTCTTCAATTTTTTTCTTAAGGAAAATGTCTCATTTCTCAATTTCTACCACAGGAATGAACTTCAGAGTGAAAACCATATTAAAAATATAATTACTTGTTAAATTAGCAATTTAGTAGTTCTATACAGAATGTATTCAAATACGTTCAGCAATAGTTTTGGTGTATCATAGGCTGCAATCCAAAGATATCATGAGTCTAATTTAGGGGATTCATTCAGAGATTACTTTGATTGGTGAAACTTTTTTGCTGTTTTGCTCATGTAATGTAGGACAAGTCAAGCCCACTCATCAGACAGTCCCAGAAGTAACTTGAGTCAGTCTCATAATGAATCACTTCTTAAATACACTATTTTCCTGTATACTCATCCAGATGTCTTTTCTCTATCAGTCTACAGTATTTGAAGGTTGGGAGAAAACGATTGCCTTCTAAAGAGATGTCCATAGCTAAGATCTGCAGTTATTTCTCCAGAGAATTCTTTCTCACTGGTACATTGTTGTTTGCAGTGGTCAGTAACTTAACATTACACAGAGGATAGGTAGGAAGCAATTGCAATTCATAAAATGAATGAAAAGAAAGGTTTTATATTTTGGTGTTAATAAGGTATAAAATGGATAGCTAACCTGTGGATTACATTTCAATATTAGCTAACATTTGTTCAGTCTACCAGTCAGTCAATTCTGCCTGACAGTACTATTATTGTTATTTTTGGGGGGAGGAGGAGGGAGAAACCTTCTCAGAATAATACTGTATATGGAAGCCCATGAAAGGTTTTTGGAAAGTACTGCTGTGTTAAGATAGTTGACAGGTGAGAAAATACAGTAGCCCACCGTCCTAAGTAGGTGTGCATTAAAAGGTATACAAAGAAGGAAGAATGTGAGCTATATGTGAAGTAAGTCTTCCTTGCTTTCTTAGCAATTTTGTTTACAATTTAGCAGACAGATATGTGTATATGTATATGTTTGTGTTTTGGAAAGAAAGAAAATGGCAACCAATCGGTTAGGAGAATGCCCAAAGACACAAAGAGATGCAGAAAGTGACTTGGTCTTTTTTAGACAGCAGACCTGGGAGAAGGTTGAAGAACTGATGATTGAGTCTCACCACTTCCATCAGGTTGGCAGCCAAATGTAATTAACATCCTTACTTAAATCTAAATAGGCATAGTGTTTGTAGAAATAGATACACATACATAGTGGAGAAATAATTAAATATGAAATTCTTGAAAAGATACATATATTTCACTGTTACATTTACCAGCTTATCACAAAAGCTGCAGGAAGGCAGTAGAGCGGGAAAAACAGCAAATGTGTTTTTTAAAGGTCTCAGAGGAATACTGCTCTACTTAAAGAAAGTTGCACTGCTGAAATAAATATTTATTATCTTGTTTGTTACAGCAAGAAACAAATGTTTGCAAGAAAGTTTTTGTGAATAATGTTCAAAATGTCATGACAGTGAATCCTGGGCCAGATAAGTTTTCAATGTAATATATTTTCATGTAACTAAGCACTTATATCTTAAATTATTACAGAAATGTTCTTGCAGGTACATACATGTAGCCCCAGCATCTAAGGTTCTTCTCCAAAGATTGCCCAGCTCTTAGAATGAACTGGCTTTTTGCAATTCCCAGTATCCCTTTACTACTTGGTCATGCATGCTGGAGCTGCTTGTTCTTTAATATTTGAAGGTCAATAAATTCCTTAGACATGGTTAATTATTTTTCTTTACTTTTTTTAGTTTATATCCTGCCTTTTCTGCACAGCTGAAGACAGCTTACGTGGGATCTTCCTTCATTTTATTCTCACAAAAACAACCCTGTAATGAAGGTTAGGCTGAAAGAGAATGATTGCCCAAGAGCCGTCTTAGTTGACAGTGGATTTGAACTGCAATCCAGCCCCCTCACTTTCTGACCAAAGTTCAGTATAGGACTTTGATTTATGTGATGGAAAAAACAAAACATAGCAATAGAGAAAAGAGGGTGATGGTACCAATCGCATATCTTACCTTGATTGAAGCACCTGCAAATCTTGCCAGCTGTTTAATGTGTTGGCCCTTTTTTCCAATAATGGCACCTACTGCCTGGGTTGGGATGAACAAATTCACCACTTCCTGTTCTGGCAACTGTGGATAACAAAATGAGACATAATGTACTTTGGGAGAAGACAGAGTTGATGATGATTTTTTTGCCTCCCAACTTGTACACTTGAAATGATTTGCATGCAGGAACAGAAAAAAGGAGGAAGGAAAGCCAGCTTGTTAATGTCAAATACTGCTGGAAAAAAGCAAATGCTTAGTGGAGCTTCAGCCTTACTTCATCTTGAAGAAAATTAAAAAGATGTGGGAAAGAAAAAAGACTATAACATGGTTCCTGTATTCCTTTATCATTCAAATTTCTGTTACTGCAATCAGTAATCCCACAGCACATAAGATGTTATAAGAAATAGACTCTCAAGATATCCTAATGACTCTTTAATGGCTACTATACAAGGTTCTACACTTAGAGAATAAGTATTTTACAGTCAGTCAGTACACATTGTCCTGTGCCATTTTTTTCTTCCCTCCCCCTTGCAGAGCAGAGAGTTTGCATAAAGAAGCTATCTCTTCCTGAGCTGTTTTTCTCTGTAGTGCAGCACTTACCGAAAAGGTGCTAACTTCAAGTTAACAAGCTCAGCTTTGTGATTTTAATTAGCTATCTGGCAACTGCTGCCTGTAACTGACAAGAGTTTAGTCACTTTCCCGTCTTTGGCTCACAGTTGCAAACATGCTAAGCAAACAGCCAATGATAGTGTATAACTTTCAATGTGTATTTCTCATTGGGTGTCTGCTTACTGTCTTGCAATCCCTTCCTCTTCAATGAATGTAAATGCAAAGATTAATTTTCTTCTTGCTAATTATCCCAGCACTGAGATAAGCATTCCAAAGGGTGGGGTAGTGAGGAAAAAGAGTTATAAGATTTGCCCTTTTATCCAGTTTCCTCATGGGTCAAGTTCTGGAAAACTTCCTTGCCTTTTAGGTTGGCCTGGCAAGCATGTACTCACAGCTCCATTTGTATGAGTTGTGGACGCTCGCACGCAAAGCTCCATTTATGAAGTTCCATTTGTGCCAGCGGGGGCCCTCATGCTTACGCATGAACCTCCATTTGTGCAAGCCCATGTGCGCATGGCCGTTGCTTGTGCAAATAGAGTTGCACCCACCTAAGCGCATCTGCCATCTGCCTATACCTTCCCCCCCCCCTCCGGGCAGGCCGGAAAGGTTGGGGGAGAGCGCTGCTATAAAGCAAAAAAAAACTGGAGTAAAATAATAAGCACAGTTGCAATCACACAATTATCCACTTAGTGATCACGTCAATTAGCAACTGAGCTGTCAATCTCAATTGTGGACTATGTATAGTTCATTACTTCTTTTACTGATTTTATTGTAATTTCTGCTTATTATTGTAAACTGGCCAGAATAGGGCATACAAGTTCAATAATTAATAAATTAATAGTAATTTTAATGTTTTTTTCTGAACCACCAAACGTTATTAGAAGTTAGGTGGTATACAAGTGTAAATAACACAATAACTTTCTCCAGTCACTGAGAGTCATGAATACTAAGTACTATGCCAGGCTATTATTGAAAGGATAACAGCAGTGATGACAATATGAAAGCTTAGCTCCTCTACTTTTCCTATGTACTTTCAACTTTGGTTGGAGAAAATCCTTTGAATTTGAACTCTTTCTATAATAGAAATGCATACCCGGAGATGTCAGCCTGTAAAGCATCACTAAAAGCATTTTCTAGTTTATATTAAGACAGAAGAACTGAACTGTAAATGAACAAAAGATCCCAACATACACAGATACAAGCAGAGTGGAAAGGCTGATAATTCACAGCTCTACCACTTTATGAGATGAAGAAAAGAATATAAAACCAGTGGTCTTAGGGTCCCACTTCCAGATAAGTATATACAGTTTTATCTGAACATGCTGGAATGCCTCCCAAGGATCATCATTACTAAAAATGAAATATACAGCAATGCATAAAAATAGGACAGGAAGGGAAAATTTGCCATCTTTAAATGTCATTTCTCAAGAAATGACGATTTCCCAATGGATTAATTGAGCAAGGATTTATATATTACTAAACTCTGATTCTTATAATCTTTAACTGGCCCAAACGGTACACCATAGGTCAGTAATGGCGAACCTTTTAGAGATCGAGTGCCCAAAAATTGGCCCCGTCCCATTCCATCCCCTGCCCCGCCCCACCCTGCCTGCCTGCAGGGCCACTCACTGCCTCCAGGGCCCGCCACAGATCGTCCAGGCAGCCCAGCAGCGCCATGGTGGCCACGCCCTCTGCCCGCGCCCCGCAGCATCAACTGCGTGCAATGGGGCATGAGTGCAGAGTCTTGTCTACACTGCCTGGCTGCCATGTCCTTGGCTGTGCTGCTCCGCGTGGACCACACTCAGGGGCAACTCTCCTCCAGGGGTGCTGCTGGTGAGGGGGTTGCGGGGGGAGGCAAGGCTGGGGCAACAGATCGTATGCCCACAGAGAGGGCTCCGAGTGCCGCCTCTGGCACACGTGCCATAGGTTCGCCACCACTGCCATAGAGCAAAACCTTTCAATCGAGATACCTCAAATGAGCTAGTTTATAGAATGTGTCTAAAATCCGTGACTCCTGTGGAATTGAAATTTGGCAAATTTTATAAAACATTGTGTAACATAAAAATTATCACGAAACACTTTATGGCGTAATACAAAATGTCAAAAAAATATTTCCTGTGCTGACATCTCTGAATGTATCCCAGCTTTGCCAGTGAAGGCAGTACTTTGGAAGCTCTGTCATTGTTGAAGGCATTGAGGAATCTGGTAAGGGAATATCTCTGAAACAATGCCCAAAGGGGTCATGGGTTGTCTAGTAGTAATAAACAGCCCTCCCAACTGTTTCTGACCTTCGCTATCACTCTTAGCCAATACTGTCAGAAAATTAAAATTTCAAAAAAAAAATCTAAAGGAGAACACATTGTCCACTGCCACTATAGAGCAAGAGGGACCACAGTAGCATTAGGGTCATGAACTCTAGGCAATAACAGAATTGTATCAAGTGAAGCTTTCCGAAGCTCAGAGATTTAGCTCTTGATCTCTGCCGTTGGTGAAGATTTTGTCTGCTACGTAATGGTATGGGCCATAAACAAGCAGTAGTGTGCATAATATAACATGCAGAAAAACCCAGGTTCAATCCCTGCCATTATGTGTCTCATAGAACTTTTCCGCAACCTTGGAGAGCCACTACCAATTAAAGCAAGTAAGACTGGATTAAGGCCAATAGCTGACAGTACAAGGCAGTTTTATATGTTCACGTGGTAAAACATTACCAAAGTAGCAAAACTATTCTATGATAAATAGTGCTTTGCTAGCAATTGTCCTGAGGAAAACTATTTCCAGCAATTATTATGAGACCACCGTGCTTCTATGCTTGATCTTGACTGGCGAGCCGCCCATTAAGACAAAGTGCTACAGTTGGTGTAAGTACCTCCAGAACTGTAAGCAAAATGTGTAAAGCAAATACTACATGCAAGGACAGAGAGGATCTGCTTAGTAGCTTTATCACACAGCTAAATTACTTTCTCTAAACAGCACTGGGTGAATCAATGTTTAGAAAACTGCTACAATGCAGAATCATCTGAAGGCAGCCTAAAAGCCTGCAAAGCAAAAGGCGGGCATGATACAAAGCAAGGTGCATGAAAGGGTGACATCCAGACAGAAGAGGATAATGCACTTACGGAGTGCAGATGGGGATATGTGCCAGTCAGCGAGGCTCCATTAAGGCCCGAAAGGTATGCTGCTTGGCTCTACGGCAGGAAAAAAAGTGACAATCAGTGGGGACAGGCCAGAAGTCAAAGGTGTAAGTACCAGGAAAATGTATGTGAGGGGCTTTTTGGAGAGATGGTGGACTGAACCCCCAAAACCTCTTGAGAACCTATTCCTCCAGGTTCTTGCAAAAAAAGCCTTTTTGTATCTTACAAAACTGGCCTCTGTATCAAGCTGAGCTTCCTCAATAACATCTCCAGAAACTATTTCCTTTCTATTTTATGCCTGAACCCAACCAAAAGATAATGTAGTTCTAATTTTATATGCTATTGCTTAAGATCCATTAAATGGCTTCTATTGTTTCATATATTGATTTATTTTTATAATTGCATATTTGTACTACTTGTTTCACTGACTTGAGTTCTCTGTAATTTTGGTTATTATTGTCATAGTTGTGAACCACTGTACAATCTTTTAAAATTAAATAACATATGAATCAGTCTTATGCTGAATCAAACCACTGGCCCATCAGTGGTAGCAGTAGCTCTCCAAGATCTGTCTAAGATTCTTTTTCATTGGGGATCCCTTGGAATCCTGTGTATATACAAAACAAGTGCCCCACCACAAAGCAACTGTATCATTCCCTCAGTATGAGGCCAGTGAAAGAAAGGAACAGTGACTTTTAGCATAGGAGAACCAGAAATGGATGATGAAAATCATACTACTTTGCGTGGAATGACATACTGATAACCAAATAAGAATATACATTTCCCAAATCTATAAAGAAGGTTTTGTATGTTTTGTTTTCAAAATTAAGCTCATGCAAATCAAAAAGTATCCAGCAACCTTTCCTCTACAAAAAAAAAAAAAAAGGACTCAAAAGACACTCAGCCACAAAAGGCAAATTCTCCCATGATAGCTGGCTTTCAAAGAGAGGTGCTAAAGAAATATGTTGTTTTATCCTTGTTTGAAAGTCCTCTTCACTAGATTGAAAATAATCTGAGAGATGGAACTTTATTACTACCATCTGTGAAAATCTTACTTTTAGTCTGTTGCAACTGAATCTGCTGTTTCTCTCCAATTACAATTGGAGATTACAATTGTGTAAAGATAGTATGTAGTACAAAGCTGACATTTCCCTTACAGATTAAAACATGTTCTTATACACAGCCAAAGAAAGGAGGAAAGCCCAATACTATTATAACCCCTACTTCCTAAAAAGAACTGAAGGCCAGCATATCAGCAACCAGCCTAAGCATTTGAGACTCTTATAGAAAAGGAGTCTTGGCAGATAGGTACCCTTCCAAATAAACACTGAGGTACAGCCACGTAACATGTTTATTTTCTAAGATTGCCTACGGGGCCTTTCTGGAGCCCAGAACTATTTTCAGAAGCAAAGATGACACTGAACTTGCTTTATTAAAAAATGGGTTTTTAAAATGTATGTATGTATGTATGTTATATATGTATGTTATGTATGTATGCATGTATGCAAAAAAAAAGTCCATCTGGGACAGGGAACTTGGCAATCTTCAAGTCACAGGTCTGTATACCTACTTGCAATTTGGGAACCATGCTGTGGGCTATATCTACAGATGGACATGTGTGTCTACTTACGGCAAAAGGGTTGTAGGGAGCAGCAATAGCAGGTCTACGGGCTGCAGCTCCTGAGGGAAGCATGGATAAACCTGTTGAGAAGATGCCCAATGCATTGAGATTAAGTCCAGGGATGAGATTGGCTTGTTGCTAGAAAGAAACACAAGGAAAAATGGAATAAACAATGTAATCTGATGGAGGGGGAGGGGGGAGATTAGGCTACAGGACTTTTATTTAGCAAGTTCTGGAGCATCTGAGGTTCACTTCTGTCTTCATTAGACCTTATATGATTTATAATTATTTGGCTTTGACAAAGAAAACACATATACACTAGGACAGGAACTTACATTGATTGCTACCACGTCATTCTCATAGGCTTCCCGCAGTTTGTTCATTATCTCTCCTTCAGCATTGGTACAGGCCTCAATATTGCCCTTCACAGTGATGGTTCTTTCAGGGTTATAAATGGTTAAATCCTGCAAACTGAACAACCACAAAATAACAGATGAATATCCTTTCAATTAAAAAAAAGATGTATAGCCAGCTCTAAAATGTGGTCAATAGGGCAAGATTGTCAGAATGAGTCTTTTTAAATAAAATCCAAGCAGTTAAATTATATTGCGGGTGGGTGAAACCCAACAAATTAGGAAAACACCCTATTTATATTTAGGCAGAAGGCAACAGTGAATGGAAGAGTTGACGTTGGAAACTACAAGCCACCAATAATTTTATGAAGTGTTTGAGTTTATAATTAGAGACTTTGAGGTCTTTAATTTCTGACTGCTTGAATCACACTGAATGGTAGAGTTGCTTGTGAACTAAAGATTTTGAGAAATTCCATGTGCAAAAAAGACAGGTTCCTAGGCTACCTATTATATTAATGAATCACTGATTTTTTAAGATGAACTTTGTACTGTTCCCAAACCCGAAACAGTGACATTGTGTGTTGAAGAAAGGGAATCATTTAGCATACATCTGCTGTAAAATACTTCCCACTGTAAAGATTACCACTCTAGTTTTATTATTTTCAGTCATTTTAATTAGTACTAACTACTTCATTACAGAGAGGTAAATAGACAGATTGGTGGGTGGATGGATGGATGGACTGGAGACAGTGATGAGACAAAGGCAGGAAGACAATGGTTGTTGGAAAGCAAGCCTTCATCCCTATAAATAAATTAGTATTATAGAAGTATAGTGCTATTACGTTCCTTCATTTAAGGATATTTCCCTGTTTCATTCATTCTTTCAAGCAACATAAATGTGTGGTGTTTTACTGAGATATTATGTATTTTATTTTTTATTTAAAAGCTGATGTGTTTTATAAATTATTAAAATTTATATAGCCATTCGTGTACTAAAAGGACTCTGGGTGGCAAACAGAATTAAATATGCCATGCAAATTTATAACTCAGTTAAACATTAGCACTATAAATCTACAATGTTTCCGGGCTCAATGAAATCTAGATGTCTCTCTCTCTCAACTAGGCTAAGGCAGTACATGTCAGTTCTGCTTAGAAGGAGGGTGAGCAAGCTATGGATCTAGAGTGCACCATGCACAAGACTAAGAAGTAAGAGTTGTATCCAGCTTTTCCCAATCAGGTGTCCCCTAAAAGTGCTGGACTACAGCTTCCATCATCCCCAGCTAACACAGTTATTTGATGTTTTGCATGGGGAGAATGGGTGTTAAAAGTCCAACGTACCTGCAGGGTGTTAGGTTGGGGAAGGCTGGTCTTGCCTGATGGCAGCAACATTCACTGGTACTCACGGAGAAATAGTGATTTTGGTCCCTGTATCTTGCTCAATTTTCTTCAAGTTTCTTCCTTCTTTGCCAATCAATCTTCCAACCAAGCTGTTGTGTGCTAGGATTTTCAAAGGAATATCTTCAGCCCTGAGAAGTATGAAAAACATACAAAAGGTCGAAGAAACATAGGGAAATGCATTTCCAAAAATTTTCCAACCAGATTTTTGGGAAAAAAACAATGCTGGACATTCCATCACCACCTTCACCCAATACTGTAAACCAAGGAAGGGGGATCTGCTGTTAGACTTCACAGCATGAAAAATCAGTTTTCTAAAAACTAACCTGTATATTCTGCAATTAGTTAATAGCAGAATAGTATCAATAAGCAATTTTACTACAAGAAAGTCATGTTGTTGGGAAGCAGGAGGTTGTCTGAGATAGACTTTAAAAATTAATGGAGATGTGTTGTTCTAGGGAGTTTAGATTTGGCATTACTCCAACCCACAAAAAATTTCCTGATGTGGAACTTTTCTGTTTATTCTAGTAATTTGAGTCAGTGGAGTATATGATGAATACAGACAATGGTGCACAGTTTAAAAACAAGAGTAAGATAATGTGATTTGCTATTCAACTTACGTTAGCATTTCTCTATACCACAGGTTGGCAACCTGCAGCTCCGGAGCTGCATGCAGCTCTTTGAGCCTTCTCCTGTGGCTCCCAGCCTCCTCTGCCATTTGCAAAGAGAGACAGAGACAGAGAGAGGCACTTGTGCTTCCCTGCTTCCTTTTCTCGGTATAAAAGCTGAAAAGCTTTTTGGGTGGGGCTCCTCCCTTTGCTGCATCTCTGCAGGAAGCAGGAAGGGCAGGAGAGCTAGCTAGCCAAGCTATGCTGACTCAGGAATTCTGGGAATTGAAGTCCATGAGTCATAAAAGAGGCAAGGTTGCCTAGCCCTGAGCTTGTTGGAGAACAGCTTGAAGCCAGCTTGCCAGGTGAGCAGAAGATCGGAGAGAAGGAGAGAGAGGGGGGGAGGGAGGGAGGGGGAGAGAGAGGAAAAAGAGAGAAAGAAAGAACGAGTGGGGGAAGAGGACTGGCAGACCAAGGGCAGAAAGAGAGGGGGAGAGAGAGAGAGGGAGACCATTTTGCGGCTCCCAGTGTTTTGTTTTTGGTGGGAAATAGGTTCAAGTGGCTCTTTGAGTGTTTTGGGTTGCCTACCCCTGCTCTATACTGAATAAAGTAGCAAACTTTAATAAAACAAGGTGGACACACATATTTACTCTTTAGAGGTATCTTTATCATAGTCTTACAGAGATATTCAAGTTTTACTTTGCAATTGTTCAGATCCATTTAGCTTATGGTTATAACTTGTCAACTATTTACTTGACTCCTAGTAACTTCTTCCTCCATTATCACTGCTAGACTTCTTAGCTAAATTTATACTGGTTAATCTATTCATTTTTCAAAAGATTTATAAAACTGCCCCTCTTATGCAGCGGCCCAGAAACAACAGTAAAAACAATAAAAATAGTAGAAAAACCATGTAACATCCAAGACAAAAATGGCCAAAAAGATAAGGGCGGGGAAGAGAGCGGCAACATATTACAAAGGCAGTTTTACTTAATTGCTTTACAGTGATACAATGGCAGCAAGTTCTCTGCTCCAGCAAGATCTTTTCCATGTCATAAACTCTCTGTGTGTATGTATAACAGATACACAAATGAGCCTTTTTGCCTAATCATGAGTGAAAGCCTTTACTGTTCAACCAATCTGTCTGCATGCATCTTTAAGTGCATTCAAGCACATGTGTATTCATTATCTCCTACAGATGCAATCTTTCCCAACGGTATTATTCTCTGACAGATAGGGACTTTGCTTTCTCGTCCCCATCTGAAAGTGGTTTCTAGTTTTGTGATATTCAGGCTTCCCAAATAATTTAATTATTTAAATTTAAAACTCATGTTTTATAGCAAACAAATTTCCCTGATAGGTGGAACATTATGAAGACCAGGCCAGATCATCCTGTCCAAACAGCAAAGGAATATCAATTTATTTATAATCAAAAATATGCTAACCAAATTCTTTTTGAGTATATCCTATACAAAAATTGTATTCCCTTTCTGGCTAATTTTAGGGTGCATTTTTTTCTGGTTTTCTTCAGAGCTTTTACTTCTCCTGTAGCTAAGGAAAATATTCACAAAGATTATCCAGTAAGAATGGGAAAGAAAGTCTATATCCCTTACAGTTTTTCGTATGTAGTTTTGATAACTGGTTTCACATAAATGTTGTTTGCTATTTACAGTTCTAGAGATCACTTTCCTCTTGCATATTTTTTAAAAAAGAAACATTTTCATTTTCCACCTTCTCTGGCAACATCACAAGAACTACTTACGATTTTGTTTCTTCAGCCTCCTTCTGCATAATATCAAGTATCATGCGACATGCTTCCGAACACCCTTCAGGGGTGGCATGAATGGTTATTGGTTTCTCAGCAGCACCAGCATTTTCTTTCCGATGAATGTCTACCCTGCAGCAACAGAGTGCATACAAAAAAAATCTGCTAGGGATCAGAGGATGGTGCCTAAGTTGACACCTTGATAAAACAAGCAAATAAAAAAAAATAGTATTACAAGGATACACAAAACTATTAATTTGCTTTCAAGGCTAATGCAAGGGAGGTATTAAGACTTTGGAATCAAATAGAATTGGTTTGCATGTTAGTCCAAAACTATTGCTTTGTAATGGTGTGAATTTGTGTGCTCCTTCCTGCACTTTGACTTTCTGATTCATGACATATCATATTTATTATTATTATTATATTTGAATAGCATTTACTGATTTGCATCTGTTGTCCATAGAAACTTGTTCTTTTCTCAAGTTCAGAAAATAATTTGTTTAAATGGAATCTAGGGTACATGAAGGGGAATGAGGAATACATAGCTACTTGTCTATGGAGATTCTCAGTCATCCAGGTCATAGTTATCTCAAAGATGCTTTTTTACAAGGCAACTGGACTTCCTTGTTTTTCTTTGAAGATGTTTCAAAGACGTTTCAAAGCTGAAGTAGCTTCTTGGATAAGATGCGAAACGTCTTCAAAGAAAAACAAGGAACCCAGTTGCTTCATGAAAAAGCACCTTTGGGACACAGCTACTTGAGTCTGAATAAGATACCCCTTTAATAGAAATCAGGGAAGGGATAGACACCTCCTCTATACTTTAATTCAAGACTAGTCAGGCCACAAGGACCACAGCAAAGGTTTTTTGTCCTTTGTCAAATGTGTGGGTGCCCTTCACAGGCATTTACTGACTGTAAGAACACATGCTTTTCTGATATTGATACAATTTACATGTACTGAAAAGCCATTCATTAATATTAATCTTGGATTGTAAGTGACCTTTCAGAAAAGAAAAAAAGAAAGATCTTGTAAGGCTTCTGAGAGGCCAATGCATATAAAAATGTAAAACTGATTTTCTCCCATGGCTGATTGGTTATGGCCGATTGTCTATGATCAATAACAAACAAAAAAAGTTCAATCAATCAATTCCAACTTCGCGCGATCTTTTTTTTTTTTGCGAGAAGTTGGAATTGATTGAACTTTTTTTTTTTAAGTCCCAGAAATTTCTTTTGTTTGTGGGACTGCACACAGCGGCGAAGGAACGCAACGGAAGAATGTGTCAGAGCTGGAAAGAAGGTTAGCATAGAAATGCTTTGGGAAGGGAGGGCATCTGGGCAGTGGGGGGTGGGGCAAGCTTTCCAGCTCCGGCGCGCCACCTGTCACTTCGGTGGCTGTATAGGCAGAGCTGCGAAGAGGGCTTGGAAGAGGAGTGAAAGGGAAGAGGGTAGGTAGGCAGGTGAGGGGGATCTGTCTCACACTCCCCCACTTGTTCTACGGCCACTTTTGGCCAAGCCATGTCACACCCACCAACGCTGCTGGGAAGGAGGGATGGGGAGAAGAGGAAAAGTGGCCGAGTGAGAAGTGGAGCCATCCTGGCCAGCCAGGCACTGAAGCGCCACCAAAACCAGCAGAATCTGTGTGTGCACCTGCCACACACTCACCTACATCAGCCATGCTCTCCACGCCTTGATCAGCTGAAGCACGCCGTGGAGAGTGGAATGAGCATGTGGCAGGTAGGCACATGGACTCTGTTGTTTTCAATGGCACTTTGATGCCTGGATTGCCCCACTTCTCTCTCGGCCGCTTTTCCTCTTTCTTCTCCTGGCTCCTCCTTCCCTCGCGCCGGCTGCTCCACTTTCCATCTCTACATTGCAGCACACATTGCAGCCCAGGATCCACTTTGGCAGCAGCGGAGTTTGGGGGATGATGAATCCCCATTCGTGGCATGTCCGCCAACCAATTGCTATGCCATCTCTTGGGAGGGCAGCGCTAACTGCCAATGGAGCAGCAGGGAAGGCAGAAGACAATCCCGCCCACCAGACTAGCCTGGCGGGCATGGGGTGGGAAACTGAATGGTGCTGAAAAGAAGCACTCAGAGCCTCCAGGAGCCGTGGGGATCTGCATGGGGCCTCTGCAGGCGTGCTCCTGTCCAACACTGCAACGGGTTTATGCATGCGTGCATCAATGGCTGCTTAGACATGTCTGAAGTGTGTCATTGAAGTTCTGACTGCTGGGCAGGACCTCTCCCAACAGAAACTTCTTCCCCATTTCCCTTCCAGAGCAAATTGCCTTTGCATAATCAAGCCCTGCAAGATTGTGGGAAGCACATGCTTGAAGCAACACGCAGCCTCTCCCTGTAACAAGAATTGCAGGCAACGCTGTTTATAAGAGATCAATGAGACTTTCTCTCAACGGCAATATTGATGATGAAGGTAAATGAAAAAGCAGTTTCAAAAATCTTCCTTCCTTTCACCAAGTGAAACCTGAGTCGCCTCCCAGACATCTCAGGATGCCCAGCTTTCTTTCCCGCTCTTCCACAGAGGAAGAGAAAGCCGGCAAAGCCTGCAGGGCAGGGCAGATCACCTCCGGAGGCTGCTTTGGGGGAAGGGTGAGAGAGAGAAACTGATGGTTGATGCCCTAGCCAGCCCCACCCCTGCACAACCGCTGGATTCCCGGATCCAGGGTAGGGATACAAAAATGCAGCCTCTTCTTGCCTCCACCCCCGGCTCTCTTAACATTCAGGCCAACTCGCAACAGTGGCACCAGCAGCAGGCCTAGGCAGAAGGGGGGGGGGGGAGAGGCACGTGATCCTGTCTGCCAAAAACAGACGGTAGGACTGAAGATATTGTTAGACTTAATTAGAAAGCTAACGTGGAGATGAAGGATCATAGTAATTCCACAATAATTTATACTATTTATGACAAAGTGGGAAGCATATTTTTAATCTCCAGTTAGTTGAAAGTATTTTTCTTTGAATAGTAGAAATCATTCAGAGGTAGCTGAAAAGGAGCAGAAAAAATATCTGGAATGGGGAAAACGTGCTGGGTTATAGTAATATCTCAGAACAGATAAATAATGCCTGTTGAAAAACAAGATAAGGATAAATATTAGCAAGACTACAGTAACTATTAAAACATTCCTAAGAATTTGTACAAAACACATCAACAGTGAGTTAAAGGGCTTTTATACAAAATAACAAGCTTTTGTCATGTAATGCGCATACGAGCTCACAGCTCATTCGGTCCAAAGATCACAAGCTAGGGACACAAGGCTACAAACAACCTCTATAGAAGGAAATTAAACCATCTGTGATACTTACTTGGACTGGGTTTGCTTAGTAAGGTTCTTTATGGTCAAGCCCTCCTTTCCTATGATGGCACCAACAAATTGCGTGGGCACCAGGATCCGTAGTGGGAAATCGAGCTGTTTGGGCTGTGAGGAGCCCCCAGGGGAGGGGCCCTGCTCCCTGGAAGAGTGGCCCCCACGACGGGATCGCTGAGAGGGCTGAGGGGAGCTCACCTCATCATCTGGGATGTAGGAAATCTTGAAGGAATAGTTCTCAAACTGGTGACCACTAAGCTTCTCAATTGCTCTAGAAATACAAAGAAAGGAGTGGAGACAATAATTACTATAAAAAATGTTTACTTCAACACACCAGCCTCTGTAAAAACCTGCCTCAACATGTGGCATCTGCATATGAAGGTCCATAATCACCATCCACCCATAGACCCCAAATAATTATATAAATAATTTTAAAAAGAAAATCATGCCAATAACATTCCTGGTTCTCTAGTTGGCATTTGTAATACCACCAATACGACAGTTCACTGAGGATATTATTAGACTTAAATAGAGAGCTAAGTTTGAGATTCTTTATTTCAATATGCTTACTAAAATAGATGCATATGACATGCCTAACGTATGTATGCATACCTCAATCCTAATGGTTGACTTCACCTTTTGGAAATCACTAATACCATGATAAAACACAGAAGAATTTTGAAATATTGAACATTCAAAATCAGAACAAGAATCTAAATTATCTCAGTGTGTGTGTGTGTGTATGTGTGTGTGTAAAATTATATATTATACAAGTGAGCATATGATTGCAAAAATGGATATCTATCAGAAGCCAATTTATTTAAATCTATTTAAATGGCAATTTTCATGTTTACAATTGTAATCCTGCCTTAGACATAATTTTGGCTGCCATATGCTTTGAAAGTACAGAATTAACACATATAGAAGAAAGTATCACAAGTAGGTTGGGCCTGCACATTTCTTTGAAGCAGGGATAAGCCTGATCTGGAACAAAGGGACTTGAATGAGACCCCATTTCCCCAATCTATGCCTCTCACCTCCCAGATGGAGCACTTACCTTACAGGGGAAGATAAAAGGTGTTGGGATCAAGCAATAATTGCCTTTGCAGGCATTCTTGTTTCTATCACCAAGTGCCATCTATGTCTTGGTCATTCCACATTTTACTCAAGCAGTTCATGCAGAACAACATAGGAAGTGCAGATTCCCTACTTCATACTGTATGACTAATGGCAAATAATAATAATATAATATAATAATAATAATAATTGTAAAGTTGGAAGGGACCTTGGAGGTCATCTAGTCCAACCCCCTGCTCAGGCAGGAAACCCTATACCATTTCGGACAAATGGTTGTCCAGTCTCTTCTTAAAAACCTCCAGTGTTGGAGCATTCACCGGTTCTGGAGACAGGCTGTTCCACTGGTTAATTGTTCTAACTGTCAGGAAGTTTCTCTTTAGTTCTAGGTTGCTTCTCTCCTTGCTTAGTTTCCACCCGTTGCTTCTTGTCCCTCCAGGAGCCTTGGAGAATAGCTTGACACCCTCTTCTTTGTGGCAGCCCCTGAGATATTGGAACACTGCTAACATGTCCCCCCTCGTCCTTCTCTTCATTAAACTAGACATACCTTCTCAATTGCAGCATCTGCCCCCTGGAATACCATCCATCCTAGAATTTATCTGACTCCTATACTGACTGTTTAAACAAGCTTTGAAAACATGGTTCTTTCCCCAGAATTTGGTTGAAAAATGGTGGAACCTCTGTATTTCTTCTTTTGGTTGTGGTTAGAATGGGATTTCTTATTTGTATCATCTATATTTTATTAGTATTTTTATTATAGCAATACCAAGCACTTAGACTTACATACCATTTCACAGTGCTTTACGCCCTCTCTAAGCGATTTGCAGAGCCAGCATGTTGCCCCCAACAATCTGGGTCCTCATTTTACCGACTTTGGAAGGATAGAAGGCTGAGTCAACCTTGAGCCAGTGAGACTCAAACTGCCAAACTGCTGGCAGTCTGCAGAAGTAGCCTGCAGTACTGCATTCTAACCATTGCGCCACCCGGGCACCAGGCTGTCTTGATACAGGGCTGGATGGCCTACAACAGTGATGGCGAACCTTTTAGAGACAGAGTGCCCAAACTGCAACCCAAAACCCACTTATGCATTGTCAAGTGCCGGGTGGGTGTGGCCCATTGGGTGGGTGTGGCTGCAGTGGTAACAGCAGCCTGGGTGGGACTAAAAAGTTCAATCAATCAATTCCAACTTTGCAAGATCTTTTTTTCCCCCTGTGAGAAATTGAAATTGACTGATTGATTGAACCTTTTTTTTTTTTTGTACACGGAGGCGGAGGCCTAAAGTGAAATGGTTTTATAAAACCCAGCTGAAAGGCCTAGGACTGGGGCAACGGTGCGCGTGCCCACAGAGAGGGCTCTGAGTGCCGCCTCTAGCACTCGTGCCATAGGTTCGCCACCACTGGCCTACAACTTGAATAAAGAAATAAAATAAGCAGTAACATCTACTTCTCTCTGTTCATCTTGCACAGAGAATTAAAGTGAGCAGGAGGGAACTAGGGGAAGAACCAAATCTTGTTGCTTTAAGTCCCACCCCAACATGTTTCTGTATGCTGCAGGAAGCAGCTTTTAGTCTTTCTGAATGGTAGTTGTCCAGCCCTGTCTTAAAATGGAAAAAATCTGGTAATGTTTCAGACTATCTTCAGCAATTTGGTTAAGAGACTTTCACTTCACTGACAAAACAAAGATTCTTCTGTCATCTATTTTTAAAGATACATTAATCAAAATTCTTTAATTATGAAATCAAGAATATGGACTGCAGTTTAGCTCTTTCAAAATATTATATGCTGAAAAGTCAGTGATGCATCTAAGTGAGTGATTTGGTAAAGGAACTCTATATAAAGCAAAAGAGGCAGAGATATGTATTGCATTTCCAAAACAACATAGAAAATAAAAAGTTGATAGTTTAGTATACATTGCTGATACAAGTTATTAATAATTCTAAAAAACAAATAATACACTTGATTAGAAGACAGGGCATGACACAGAATAAGCAGTTCTATACACCTGTCTCTGAATGTGGATCCTGTTTGTCAAATCACTGCAGTAATTAGATGTATTAAATAATCGCTTCCCTTTAATTGCACTGAGTGGTTTTCCATAGTTACCTTAAACCTGTTTATGTATTTTTCTAAAGCACAGATTAAACAAATGTATTTTGTTAATGCCTGAATAGCAGCTGCGAATTATTCAACAATATTGTGTTACAGAGCAGCAGTGCTTTTTTTGTAATAAAAAAAAAGGTGCCGGAACTCACACATGTCATACAACCCGCCTATAAGGTTCCATTCCAAAAAGGTGTTGGAACTCCGTTCTGGGCGTTCTATGACAAAAAAAGCCCTGCAGAGCTGGTACTGTGTGGAATGACTGTTTATAATTTATGAAATCAAATATATTCCAAGAATTATTAGGAATCAGCAGAATTAATTTTTGGCTTACATCCAGCTACATGATAGTTATGATTAAATGTTACTAATTTTTAATTATAAGGGGTGGATAATTTTAGGATGTGTAGTAGGTTAGGTGGCAGGGCAATAATATTTTGAAGAAATAGTAAGGGACTTAGAGATATGATATAAACAGGCAATGGCTGAAATGACTGTGGAAATGAATGGCACTGTTTTGTTTGAGTATTTTGGAAGCTGTGAAGAAATGGTGGAAGATTTCTTCCTCTGAAGGATTTGCTAACCTGGAAGGTCATCTTGTGTGCTGGTTGTTAAAAAGGCTGACTGCCAGCTGTGTTAGCTCTCTGTGTAGTGGCAAAATGAAATGAAGTCCAGGAACTGACATATGAGCTATGCTTAGGTCTAGAATGGCAATGGAGGCTGCAGTGACAGGATGCAATTCAATAATTGCCATTGCTCCATTCAGCTGGAGCTAAGGTTAAAGTTGGCACAAAAAGGAAGACAGAGGTCAGTCTAGCAGATGAGTAGGGACTAATCTAACACAAAGATCCAGAATATGAGGCCTTGATTCACACCTGACTGGGAGCCTCCAGTAACATCAGCATCTCAAAGTTGGTTGTATCAACTGTGAAGAAGGAGCTCAAGGGGTGCAAGTTGGACTCTAGTTTTATTTGGCTTTCTAAAAGTCTGAGGGATGCCTAATCTAAGGTAAAATGTAGGTCAGACATGAGGCTCTTGAATGGTGGACATTGTGAGAGGTTGCTATGTTTGGCTTTTCCTAATGTTGTGATTTTTAGGATACTGGAATGAAAAGAGGATATATGGAACAATGAGTGAGAAAGAGTCAAATAGATCACTAAATTGTTGGCCACCCAGGTGATTGGTGAGATTGTGAGATGGCTACGTCCTCTTGGAAATGCAGGGAATGGATTTAACCCTGAATTTGCCAAGATAATCCCAACTGGGAGATCAGGCAAGTGTGCTATACCTGGCGAAGAAAAATTGATAATTTTGTGTTGATTTCCACTTCTGGCTTGTTGGCCCTTAACCCAAGACCTGGTAGTCAAATTACTGGAGATCTTAGCCTAAAACTGCTGAAGGTAAATACAGAGTCAGTCTGTAAAAAGAGTTTATCAGCTTAATAGTTGATGAATGGATGGACTTGTATTATTGAAACCTGATCGGACTAGATCAGCTGCTATTTATTACCCTGAGATCTGCCTTCCTAAGCTTGAGATCCTACAGTAACCTTGATAGCAAAGGTGGTGTGTGTCTGTGTATTTGATTTATAAAGATATCACACCTGCAACAAGGCACTCTGCTTTTGCAGTGGTAGGATATTTTATTTCTGTGATACAGCAGGTTGTAGAGACAAGACAGGGAACCCATAGGTGCTGTATCTAATATCAGGGCTGATGTTGGAATCACCCAAATTTCTGTGTCAGGGGATTTTAATTTTCATGCTCTTGCATTTTAGTCTGGTAAGTTCAGAATTTCATGACTTCCATGGCAAGCATGGGGTCATCCTAGTAATCTCTGATTTAACATATTGAACATCATCTTTGCCTCTAAAAAACTATAAGGTGATCTGGATAAGCAGGGCTAGCTCTCTCCCATGATGAATTTATCTCTGTCCATATGATACAAAGATGATACCTGGGACCTCTACAAGGCTAACTGATCAATTAGGATGGTAGAACCCAAGTGCTTCATAACTGGATGGATTCTAATTATGGAATTTCCCACCTATCTGCTAAATAGATCCACTAATTTTTGGTACGCTGTTGTCATCAGGAGATGACCCTCAGTCTTGGTGTGATTTCTGGAGGACAACCTTTCTCGGGTTGTCAATCTGTTTCCCCTTTACTAAGACAAATTGGCAAAGTGTTGTCTCTTGAGGGGAAAGCCCTAAGGGAGCAGGTCCATGACTTAAGAGGTTTTTTTTAGATTCATAGACACTGCTGGATGGGCAGACTTGGCTAGTATACTAGTAGCAGCCCTGACTACTCTGAAATAGCAGCTAATATCCTCAGTATTGCATAGCTGGACTACTGCCACATGATCTTCCAGGGGCTATCTTTGAAGACCACCTTTAAGATACAGTTAATACAAAGTATGGTGGCTTGTTTACTGGTTAGTAGTAAAATTTTATACTTGCATTTCACACTGGTTGCACCTAAGTTACTGGGTGCAATTTTACTTTTCAGCTGGAGACCCAACCTTATGGATCCTCCAGGCTCTAACGCCGGGACTTACTGCGTCTATTACTATTTTCTGGAAGATAGTTATGATGCTGTTCTTCCAATGGTTAATATCTAATGGTTAATATCAGACATTATTTATTATGATTGTTTTATCATGTTATTACATTTTTTGTGATATTATTTCAACATCATTTAATTACTGATAATCTCAGCATAGATCTTTTAATTATTGATTTATTATTATAAACACCGGGATCTCATGCAGATACAATGGTATGCTAAATAAATGGCTTGCTCCAATGGAATTTGCACCATAATTCTGAGTATAGTTACTTAAAAAATAAGCTGTAGCATATGAAATGAAACCAATTTCAGTTGAATGAGAGAAGCTAAATGTTTACCATATATATCAGAACTATGTTTGAAAGTTTCAGACAAACTGGATAGACTCCAAGAAGGATTAATGAAGATGATCAAGCGTTAAGATCAAAGATGATCAAGGGTTAGAATCAATCTCTATAAACAGAGATTGAAGACTGAGAAAGCTTAACTGAGAAAGAAGAGTGAGGAGATATGATGACATTCTTTAGTTAGTTGGAAGGATGTCACTCAGAAAAAGATCAAGACATGCTCACTATTATTCTAAATGCAGAAAAAAAATTTCTTAATGTTCAAAAAAGCAGATTCCAACTGAGTAAGAATCAATTGCTTAGAAAGGTTGCAGACTCCATTTTACTGGCTATGTTGAACTAGAAGCTAGACAAAAATCTGTCAGGTATACTTCAATTGGGATTTCTGCACTGAGCAGAGAGCTAGACATGATGACCCAAATAGCTCTTTCTGGTTCTGTGATTTCATAAGTAGAACACAAACCAAGGTTGCCTATTCTTCTTCTATGAATACACATGAGATTGTACCTGCCAATCCTTTCCTCAGCACAGAATTCCTTTTTTCAAGAAGTGCTTTAAGAAGTATTTAACATCTCATACATGGCACTCCAATTTTATAATATTTATTCTGCACTGCTCTCAAAATCAAAGCTCATTAGTTGATTAATATCAGCTCTGACTCAGCAGAAAATTGAGGCAGCAGCAGATTGAAATTTATGGGATAATAGCAACGGGGTATTCTATGTCAATTTTTAAACCTGTAAATGCAGAAAGAAAATTTAAGAGAACCTGCCAAGAGAATAAAACTAAAAGACCAGGAGAAGTGGAAAATGCAGCTGAAACTGTCATAACCACTTACACTTTTGCTTCTTCTTTTGTTGCATATGTAACGTTGACAACTGCTGTCTCTGATTCTGTGTTCACTAAGGAACAAAAACAAAACAAATACATATGTGTGGCAACCAACTGGGAAAATTTCAGAAAGGTGTATTTTATTAAATATCATCAGGACAAACACTTTTGTAGAATCTTGTACAAAGTCAATAGCAACTGAATAAGAAAATACAGACTGTGCAGATTTTCAATCCAAGAAAATGGGAGTAGGGCAAATATTAGTGTGGCAACCTTTTCAAAGCAAACTAGTCAAGTCTGCACATCTCAAATTAGTAGGCAGATTTTTTTTTATTTATTTTTTGCTGACTTTGAATTAAAGCTGATTCTTGGAGGCTGCTTGGACAAGTCCGAAGCTTTCTTGGCAAGACTTCAGAATTGATCTGCCATTGCCTCTGTCCTGGGGCTGAAAGAGTGTGTGACTGGCTCAAGGTCACACAGTTGGCTTCACACCTAAGATCGACTAGAAGTCAAGGTTTTCTGGTTTCTAGTCCAATGCTTTAACCACAATATGGCTCTCAATAGCTACTTAAAAGGTATCTATCTTCAGATTGTACATTTCTTCCACTTTAGAAATGCGATTCTAGATTAAGGTTGCTTTAAAGTATATTAGAGAAAGTTGCACAGAATAATATTTTATATAGGAAAAATTGAATACAAAAATAGAATTTTCATATTTGGATCTTTTTAAAAAAGCTGAAAATAAATTCTGAAACTGGATGAAATTTTTTACTAAATTTGTGTGAACCTGACAAAATTAGGACACATTCTATTATCATTTATTTAGTTCATATGACATGGGAAGTAGAATTCAAATCGGAGTGAGGTTTGGTATCTATTTCACATTTTATAAAATGGCCCGCCACAATATGCATCTAAGATGAAGTGAATCCATCTGCACATAGTTTGAGAACCAGCTAGTTTCCATTATTGACATGGTCTAAATAATGCTATGAACTAGTACCTTCATTACAGTTTGAGATGCTTTTAGTTAGAAACAGCTTTGAGTATCTTGCTATAGTACATAAACTGATGAAATATGCAAGCTCAAAATACGAAGTGTTATCAGTGATTTCTGTAACAAGATACTGTGTTCATTTGCTAAATAGCAAGAAAGACGTAATCTATTATAAGACAACTCATTTAATTTGATAACATTTTAAATGTTAAGAAATCACAGCAAATAACAATCATGCTGAAAATCTCCATCCAGCCCAACTTACAACCCCAAGAAAACCTTTATATATCAAAGAAAAATCTCAGAACAGGATGACGATATCCATTTTCAACAGAAGCAAATAAATATGAATAAATACATACATGCACCAATGCAGGACAATTAGATCCAATGGCAATGAACAAGCAAATCATCTAACAAACTCCTTTTTGTTATAGTTAATGTAACCCACACTGAATCATCTAAATAGAATTAACAGGCTGGAAATTCCCTTAACACTTCTAAAGAGTGCATATATGCTCACCTGAAATTATTATTTGGTTTAGAATCTCAGAGAGAAATGTCAGAAATGTGGAAATAACTTGGTTACCTCAGCATGCATCTATCAGTCACAAAACATCTATAAGAAAATTCCCATTTGAGTTTTACTTTTATTTTTTTTATAAAAGGAATGTTAGAACTCTTTAAGGTGACCTAAAAATTGCTTAGTCCACAGTTTTATTAGCGTATAGGCTAACAGGATTTCTGGCTTTTGGAAAGACAAAGCAACGTATTTCAGAATAATATCAAATATTCTAGTTCTTTTAAGATACATGCAGAAAACCTGGAGACAACTACTGTGCCGCCCCACTAATCAGATATTTTCAAGTGCCCACACACTAGGATCTATGTCTTTATACATTATGATATTCAGAGCTTCTCCTTCTGTGATATGTCATAGCTGGAGTCTCAGAAGATTTGATTACTTGAATTAAGTCATTTTTGAAGTTTACATAGCATATTGAACTTTGGTAACAAAATGAACTAAATTATAATTAAAACTAACCAAGTTTATCTTATTGCAGTCACAGCAAGTAAACCTTTGACCTGGTTAAAGAATATGAACCATCCAGGAAGTAGCCCTGGTAGATCCTCCTTTCAATGGTTATGCTGGGGTGAATGAATAGTTCTATAACTTCAAGAAAATCTGTTTGTTAATGTTTCAGCATTTATACTTCACTAAAAATTTTCTTAAACACCACAAGGTCAACAGTAAACTTATTATCTTCAAGTACTATAAAGAAGATATTCAATGAGTACATTGGTCTCTAAAGAAGGTTTAATGTTAATAAAGCATTTTAAATTATATAAAAACAAAAAACAGCAGGAAATGTCTTTACCTTGTTCTACATTCTCTACTGTGCCATGTTGAGCTAAAAGACCATCTAGCACCTGAAATAGAAATCAGACATAAAATATAGGTAAAAAAATTCTGAAAACTTGTCAAATTAAATTACTAAAGCACAAATCAGCCCTCTCTTCAACTCACTCCAACTTAACTTTATTAGCAGTCAGAATGGAAAGCAATGCTTGTTTGATTAAGATGATTGAAATCAACATTTGAATTAGCCTATTTTTAATGAATGATAAGGAATACGAGGAACATTATTTTTAGCATGTAATTTTCCAGACTTTTCTGTTCCTCTTTGTTTTTCTTGTTTCATAAACTAGTAAAAAAAGAACTTCACAAAATAATGGCTCTAAGGGATTTTATAAACGGCCAGATCAATTTCCAACCTACATTAATATTGAAGAGAATTAAGTACAGCTGATAGATCAGGTACAAAGAAGGTATGTAGGTACAAAAAGAACTTAGGGGCGGAAATATGTGACTGCCCTATAATGAGCAGAGCCAATGATTTGAACTCTTTCTTTGCTGGAGAGAGGAAGGAATTTAAGTTTATTAAAGACATCTATTTCACTCCTTTGAATCTTCTTCAAAAAATGGGCCTCGCACATGCCTCAGTTTAGAATATCAGTCTTTCTCTTTCACACTAAGTCTAGTGCAGCTTTTGAGCTGAAAGACACCATTGCAGATGCTTCACTCTTCCCCAATAGATTACTGACACAGATTGCCAGGCAACCCCCTTTCCCAGAATTAAACATTTAAGCTGCCCCTTCAGCCAATACCCGAAAGCAGAAATTCAATCACCTGATTTTTATTGCCACCCAGTCATTTTACTAGCACAACAGCCTTACATAAAGCAGCACAACAGGCCTTATAATGAGTAACATCATCATATTTGTGATAATGATGACTAAGAAAAACAAATACTCACATGTAGTCATCCCTGACAACTCCTTTGCCCAGAGTGGAAAAATAATCTAGTCTTGCAACCGAGACTACTGATACAAAAGGTTCCATCCCCAAATGTTTCTCTATCAACCTGTGTTCTGAAGGGTTTTTTTAAAAAATTATTTTAGGACTCCAAAACTATGGAAAGTAATCATACTGCCTCATTCTTTGGTTTAATTAAGTCTTTCCAATATACAATACTAATGAAACAATAAGCCACAAATTATACTCACAATCTCTCTACAGATCCGTTTTCCACAAACTGATGCCTTCCAGATATATTAAGACTTCATTCTCAAGCTATGGCTGGCCAAACGTGATCCACTGCCCTCATTACCCCAGCTGACTTAAGAAACCAGACCAAGACAATCAACCTGTTGATCTATAAACTGCTCTGTGTTTCATAACCGCAAAGCACTTATGGACAGCTTTTTAAAAACCTGAAATTTAGTGACAGGATTCCTGCAACAAGTGGCCTTCTCTCTAGTTAAATAAGTGTTCTATCTAGTTTGGTGTTGCAGTTCCCTCAGATTTTAGAAAAGCCTAGAGATGAACCAAATATAATTTGTGATCTTTTATATGCAAGGCATATGCTCTAAAATTGAACTCTACTTGATGCCTCAGTGGAAACTGATGGATTTAAGACCTCACTGTAGCTGAGATACATTTGGAAGTAGCATTCACCACATATAAATGGCAATTGTAAGTCACACTTTGTTAGTCTACTATATGAAACATAACTAAAACAGAACAACAGGAACATGGATTCAAATGTACTAAATCACAGTAAAAAGTTTCATGCAATTTTAACTCTGACTGATTGAATTAACTCACTCATATAAAAATAGAAGCAGCAAAAGTTGTAGAGATAATTTGACAATGTATGCTAATAACACCTATTTTGATATGCATATTAGAACAGTATCATTTAATGCTTATCTATTGGACATCAAATAGAAGCATGTACAGTATTTCAAATTTTAAATGGGCTACTTTGACCTTATAGAAATGTCCCAAAGCTGTTCTAATCTTACCAGAGGTTCTGAAATCAGAATACTTCTGTATTGGCCATTTCAGCTTAAAGGGTCCAAATTTATAATTTTTTGCATATACTACTGGCATTGAGTCAATACAAATTACAATAAGTACTTTATCCTCTGTAAGCCTACTATAATATACTGGATAATATTATGAGGTAATAGTAAAAAATATTTCTTATACATAATTTAGGGAAAATAGACTGCAGAAAATAATCAATCTTATTCCTTACCTCCCATTGTAAATGTGGAGGAATATTCCGGATTTGAATCTTCCTGCTTCTGTGAAGAAAGAGTCCACAAAGCAAGATCACATTAGGATAGTACAACAGAACATGGTTTACCTAGGGTTACATAAAATTCCAGCAATTCTAATTGAATGCCATGAGCCAAATTAAGATAACACGGAAATACCTCATACATTTATTTGGTTCCTGCAAAGTGTCTCTAACCTCTAGTTGTCTTTTAATCATAACAGACAAAAAACAAAACCAGTCCAGAATATAATTCTACACCTTTCTCCCTCTTTCTGATTAAGAATTATATGCCACAAGGAGTACATTTTGGAATTATAAGCAATCCATTCTAACCAAGTAACATATAGTGAGGGAAAAAATTATTTGATCCCCTGCTGATTTTGTACGTTTGCCCACTGATGAAAAAATTATCAGTCTATAATTTTAATAGTAGGTTTATTTTAACAGTGAGAGATAGAACAACAAAAAAATCCAGAAAAACGTATTTCAAAAAGTTATAAATTGATTTGCATATTTTATTCCCTATCAATCAGCAAGATTTTATACAGATAACGAGCTAAAATTAGGAGCACTCTCTTAAAGGGAGTGCTCCTAATCTCAGCTGGTTACCTGTATAAAAGACACTTGTCCACAGAAGCAATCAATCAATCAGATTCCAACTCTCCATCATGGCCAAGACCAAAGAGCTGCCAAAGGTGTCAGGGACAAGATTGTAGACCTACACAAGGCTGGAATGGGCTATAAGACCATCGCCAAGCAACTTGGTGAGAAGGTGACAACAGTTGGGGCGATTATTCGCAAATGGAAGAAACACAAAATAACTGTCAATGTCGGTCTGGGGCTCCATGCAAGATCTCACCTTATGGAGTTTCAATGTTCATGAGAACAGTGAGGAATCAGCCCAGAACCATATGGGAGGATCTCAAGCCAGTTGGGACGGACCATAGTCACCAAGAAAACATTTGGTACTACACTATGTTGTGAAGGACTTGAAATCCTGCAGTCCTTTAGTCCCCCTGCTCAAGAACGCACATGTACAGGCCCGTTTGAAGTTTGTCAATGAACATCTGAATGATTCAGGAGAGAACTGGTGAAAGTGTTGTGGTCGGACGAGACCAAAATCGAGCTCTTTGGCATCAACTCAACTCACCATGTTTGCAGGAGAAGGAATGCTGCCTATGACCCCAAGAATACCATCCCCACAGTCAAACATGGAGGTGGAAACATGATGCTTTTGGGATGTATTTCTGCTAAGGGGACAGGACAACTTTATGGCATCAAAGGGACAGTGGACAGGGCCATGTACTGTCAAATCTTGGGTGAGAACCTCCTTCCCTCAGCCAAGGTATTGAAAATAGGTTGTGGATGGGTATTCCAGCATGGCAATGACCCAAAACAAACGACTAAGAAAACAAAGGAGTGGCTCAAGAAGAAGCACATTAAGTTTCTGGAGTGATCTAGCCCGTCTCCAGACCTTAATCCTATAGAAAATCTGTGGAGGGAACTGAAGGTTCAAGCTGCCAATTGTCAGGCTCAAAACCTTAATGACTTGGAGAGGATCTGCAAAGAGGAGTGGGACAAAATCCCTCCTGAGATGCATTTTTCTGGTTTTTTGTTGTTGTTATTCTGTCTCTCACTGTTAAAATAAACCTACCATTAAAATTACAGACTGATCATTTCTTTGTCAGTGGGCAAACCTACAAAATCAGCAGGGGATGAAATCATTTTTTCCTCACTGTGTAAGTAGATCAACATAAAAATATATAATCCAAGAATCAATATCACTGACATTTTAAAAAACGAGTTTTGCTCAGATGTGCAGTCTAAAACATAGGAGGCATGTACTGTACATTCATGTACAGTATTAACATCTTCAACCTATCTATGGCATTGTACAATGCTGGTCTTTGACTGTTAAAAGTTTCAAGTTTCATACATATCTATACATAAATAAAGCCCCATTCAATTCACTTAAAATTGTTTCCAGATAAATGCATGCTAGATTTAGCTTTAATTATCTTGTCCCAAGTAGGATAAAAAACAGAAATAAAAATCATTTTCCTTCATTAATAGCTGAATGTTAATCCCTTTATTTACAAAAAAATGGGGAAAGTACTCTAGAATATAATAGATTTCAACTATGAGGAACTTTAAATTATAGAGTTAGAACTTGAACTGTTCATTTTGGATTGCACTTAGAAGAACCAATAAGAACTGACAATAAAGCTACAACAAATCTCAGTTATCAGCAAGTTTCTAAACAGTATTCATCTACTTTATCTTTCTTCCCAGGGAAGGGTAGTTCTGCATTCTTACATTTCAGACCACATGATTGCTATTCCCTGGAATTCTCTGGTTATTAAATTTTAAAAAGAAACATGTTGCTTTCTATTTCATATTTTTATTGTACACTGTCTTGAGTATTGGATAAAAATCCCAGAAATGGGGGGTATAAATGCATTGATAAATATTGTGCTAGTGAAGCATGGGAATTGTGGCATTGCTCATTCATAGTTGTGAATCACTCCCCCTCAGTGGCGAAGGATATGTATAGCAGGCAGAACAAAGGCACAACATCGAGGTGAGACTTGAACTCCTCTGGTTTTCTATGCATTGCTATCTTTTGCTCTGAAGCAATGGTGGAAGGAGTTCTGGCCCTATGTTAATGTAAGCTAACTACATGACTCCATACTTTCAAGAATTCTTGAACGTGTAGCAAAAATCTATATTGTTTAAATGTAGAAGCATTAACCTTTAGGAGAATTTTATGTATGACAAATTTCCTGCAAAAGGGTATGGTTGTGATCCCAGATACTGGCAGAACCAGTAATTTCTCTAGACTATGGTGGACGCTGGACCGGTAGGCCTCTCTCACACCAAAATGCTCCTGACAGCTTTTTATCTATGCCTGAGAGTGCACTGATAGCGCAGTGGTCAGGCGGATGGGGCGGCCAAAACCACAATTTGGCAAGCACCTGCACACACGTCCTTGTTAGTGGCAGCGTATACCCTGGTGATAAGTACCTGACCTCAATGTTGTGAGGATTAGTTGTGGCAATTTAAAAATACTAATTTAAATTAATTTGATAATAATTTAATAATTTAGAAACATTGATTTAATTAATATTAATTTTTTTTAAATTAATTTAACCATCAATTTGATTAATAATTAATAACCAATTAAATTGATTAATAATATTTATCAATTATTAATGTCAATTAATAATATTGGCCTGGCTAGCTGGAGATCAGGCTGGCTTGGGGCAGATCACTTGCTTTGGACCAAGGCTGGTTTCTCCGCTGCTGCTTCCTGCTGATCAGCTGGCCTCCAGTGGCAAATTTAAAAGTAGAGCTATGCTGCGGCATGGTCCAAGATGGCGGCCACAGATGCACCAAGGAGTTTTTAGTGCTGAGGCTCAGCTGTCGAGCCTCCTCTGGCCTGAATACTATGGTTCCTGCTGATTGTGCCAAACAGGTGATCTCCAGCTGAAGCGGCAAGTTTAAAACTGCAGGGTTGTGCCAGGCGTGTGGCCAAAATGGTGGCCGCACGCCAAAAACGGAGCACAAAGAGTCCTTGGGTCTGAGGCTCCTGGTGAGCCTCCTCTGACCCATATGTATCGCCCCTGCCCCTCCTGGTCCCCTGCGGGCGCTGGCTTAGAAGCAACAAACCGTGCGGCTCAAAGGAATGGTGGCCACGATCAGCGCGCCAAACGGGATTGTAGCTGCAATTTGATGCCGGGCTCAGCTGGTCAATTCTGAGCTGTCCGGCCCTCAGCTGGCTTGATGAGGGTCGCCGTTCTCTCACTGGGCCCAGGGCTGTAATTTTTTTGAAATTCAAATTGATTAAGTAAAACTACAGTTTTGATTAATTTTAGTCCTGATCCAGTTGGGATAGGAGACCTTGGGCTTTGGGGCAGTGCTGGGATTAAGGAAGAGAATCCACGAAGGGGAAAAAAGGAAATTTACAACCTGTCCAGAAATCTGATAAGGGAGCCAACCACAATCGTGTCCTGCTGGTCTGAAGACTAAGTCATGTCTGGGAAGCACAGGACCCAGCAGAAGGCGTGGCTAATTTGTCAGACTTAGCCTAATTAGCCCCCCCCTCTCTTGTCAGATTAATATGAAAGAGTTGACAAGACAAAAGTTTGTATATATTTGTGTGTGTGCGTGTACATGTGCATATTCATCATATAAATCATATTTTCTTTTGGGGCAAACTATATTATGCAAAGCTAGAAAAAAGAGACGTAACGGGCAACAGAAATGAAAGGTGGGCAATAAGGTATTTTTTAACTAAATGTAAACCTAATTTAAACGGACACAATTACTTACAGCTATCCTTAACCTTGTAACTTTCCACAGCATTCTTGCCTCCTCTGACTCCACATGCAGCTTCACAAAATTTTATTTTGCCTGCTCCTGAGAAGGGGCGTTGTCTTACCTGAACGCCTTTTTTCAGCACGGAGATGGAGAATCCACCAATGGGTTAGCTCTGTCTTCCTGCCCATTAGACCAAGTAAGCCAAACTTGCCACGCCTGTCCTGGCCTAGGACACACCCAGTCTTGACAAGGGCAAAAGCAGCTGATGACAGTCTGACGTGTTGGCTCCCAGATCCCTAACACGGGCCTAACTGGCACTAAGGGTGGGAGTGGATTCTCCATCTCCATGCTGAGAAAAGGCATTCATGTAAAACAACGCCCCTTCTCCAGCACAAGAGATCAAGAATCCACCAATGGGACATACCAAAGCCTCACTGTTCCAATGGGGGAGAAACAGAGGAGGCCGGAGCCACGTCCCCAGAAACCACGTCCAAAGGATGTGTCCGCAGATGCAAACTGGTCTATCTTATAATGCCGCACAAATGGGGAAGGCGAAGACCATGTCGCAACCCTGCAAACCTCCTCGATGGAAGCCTGTGTGGCCCATGCCATGGAGGTCGCAGCACTGCGAGTAGAATGTGCCGTGACATAACGTGGTACGGGCAAGGAATGCGACCGGTACGCCTCTGCAATGCAAGCCCTGAT